TCAGAGACTGCATTTTTGATCTCTTTTATTTGATTGTTGTAGGCGTTCATCCTGCAATTTTTTTTCTGCATGATTGTTTGCAATTTTCGGGGAATGCCTCACAAGGTTGCAAAGTTTGATGACACAAGGGATGCTAGATAAATGAAAGAGAGTCTCGAGAAGTAAAACCGATATAAACTCACGACAAGGTATCCTTCCAATGAAATACTCAAGCAATGCCCCCTCCTAAAAAATAACAAAAGCATAAACCCACAAAACAATAAAATAAAGAAGTCCATAGTTATCCTTGCAAATATGTTGAATGAATGAACGCGACAAAAAGGAGCTACCGCCGATGGAGACTTAAATAAGTAAGACTTATGTCATAAGACGAACACGGAACAAAATTGCATAAAATTCGGTATCAACGTTAATTTTACGTTTAAACGTTAAACATGTTAAAATGTATGATATAAGGCTTGTATTATAGGATGATGAGTATTAAACTTTTTTTAAATTCAAAACAAAATTCTTTAAAGGGGCACCGCAATATTATTAGACAGTATGTCAAAATAAGATAGGTTAATTTTAGAAACTTGTTTTGCTGCCTATTAAGATTTATAAAAACATAATCATTCCCCCCCCCCCCCCCCCCCAAAAAAAAACGGATTTGACAACCGATACCTAATAGTTTAAGATTAACAACGAACGACAATGATGCAATAAAGGTCTAGTTTTAATTAAACTGACAAAGGATTTTATAGTATACTTCCTCCAATGGTCACTGAATAAACTTTTATGTTAATATTTTAATAAATTTAGTTATAAACTTTGTAAACATTTTACAGGATGTTCGTTATGAAACGTACAATTTGTCATTCGACAATATAACAATTGAGTTTCCATTTCCTCTTTCGAATTAATCGTCATTTAAAGTATCCGCTATTGAATATTAATTTCAATAAAAAGGTCGTTTTTAACTATCATTTTCCGAAAATAAAACCAGGAAGGGAGACGCCTATGTCATTTGCATGTTCATGCTATCATCTGAAACAGTTCGAAATAATGGGATTGCAACATCATAATGTAAAAAATAAATGATTTCTGATTTAATCCATGACGACAACATTTAACGTATTCCTGACGTGAACATTCATACAGCCGTTTTTTAACAACTTTGGTTTCCTTTTTTTCCGAATGCATACACATTTGTTATGCCATAAACTATATCGATTTAAAGAGTCCAGTTAACAACCCAAAGTTTGTACAATATTAAAAAAATTCCCCCAAAAGTTGGTATATTTGTTTAACATTATAATTATTTATGGGATTTTTAGCTTACTATGCGGTATGAGTTTTGCTCATTGTTGAAGGCCATACGGTGACCTATAGTTGTTAACTTCTACTTCATTTAGTGGAGAGTTGTGTCATTGCCAATCACACCACATCCTCTAATTTTAAATAGATGCAAATAGCACTGCTATACCACAAAAAAATACATTCTTAAATTCCCCGTTTTCATTCTTAATTCTATATCTCAAGTGCGTCAATCTAAATAATATACTCTTTTTTATGTATATTGTAACTCCATATAACGCTCCACTTGATGTAAGATTCTATCGATTAAAGATTATTTGAAATTAGAAAAGTAATGTCAATCTGCAATTTTGAACAACCGACAGTTCACGAATAAATTCTCTTATTCTCATAATAGTATATTTATACTTTTCTTGGTCTTCTAACTCATAAGATAACTTTGTTTCATCTTTACATTGCGTTAAATGTACATTGTATTTTATGATCTAGACATTGACAATGACATCTCACATGGCTGTTAGTTGGTTTATCAATAAAAACATGACAAATTATCGTGAAAGAATAAGTTACCATGAGTAACGCATGTAACGGTGATCAAGCTCTGATAAGACCGAGTAAGAACTGGTATCGGATTGTGAATGCAATGAAATTTAATTCAATTTCAAAATATGTGAAAATATTCGTTGTCTTATCAAATGCGATAAAACGAAATATGCCTGTCAATATGACCCAATTTCCTTCATAATACTGTTTACTAAGATAAAAAAAAGCGCGTTCCTTTTCAAGAAATCAAGAAAGGCGATGAGCAAACACGTTTTGAATCTAAATGGAGTCAGATTCTAATAAATGTTGATGTATCTAAAAATAAATATTATTTTTGTCTGATAGCACAGTAAAAGGTAATAGGTGTTGATATGTTCAAATTATTTATTAAAAAGAAGGATTTTTGTCAATTTTAATCTAAATCCGGCAAAGGGTAATTTTGATTCTGGAAGCAATGTGTGACCATTTCAGACCGTATAGGTTCTGGACATAGTTAAACATGTTTAAGGCCGTAGGTGAGCTATAGTTGCTTAAAACTACGTCATTTGATCTCTTTTTTTTTATATTTGTGTCCTTGGTTATCATACCCGACTGTCCATTGTTTTAATTATTTTGAATATAAGAGTTAAAAATAATATTGACTCAGGCGTGTGATTTCCTCAATTTCGTTCTTTCATCATTGAAATATTATCGATTTTGGCATTTTGACTCAGTGTAGATTCGTATGGATTGTGATGTATGCATATCAGGAGACGCTTATACTGTCAAAGCATTCGATTTTGTAACGTTTTGAGTTAAAAACGATTCCTTTTGTTTATGTTTGTTAGCTTTATTTGTCTTCTTTGTCAATTTATGAGATTGGAATACTTTTGCCTTCATGCATGTATTATGACTGGTTGTAAACAAGTAGGAAATACTACAAGTCGGATAATAGATACACGTTTAAATCTAGTTTTTTGTTACTATGTCATGCATTCAGAGATAAATTTGGGCATTAGTAGTTTACCGATGTATAAATCTCATATATTGATTAAAACCTTAAATTTTCTTTTTTTTAATGCGTATATAAATAAATGGAACTAAACTGTAACAGAAAAAAACAATTTCATTTGCTAGTTGTATGACTAATATAACGACGTCGGTTACCAGTTTCTTAAAGCCCTTAAATTAAGAACTATTTGATCACGTAAATAATTTTAAACCACAAATCTAAAAGAAACGATTGTTAAAAAAATGATCAGACAATATTTTTTTTACAACGCTGATGAAAGTGTAAGGTATCTAGATTCCTTAACAATAGTAATGAATGATTTAATTGACAAGTTTTGCCATGATTGTAGTATTTCAATGATCAGATTGACAGGTCTATTCCAGTGGTTGTCGTTTGTTGATGTGGTTCATACGTGTTTCTCGTTTTTCGTTTTTTATATGAATTAGACAGTTTATTTTCCTGTTTGAATTGTTTTACACTAGTCATTTGGGGCCCTTTATAGCTTGCTGTTCGGGTGTGAGCCAAAGCTCCGTGTTGGAGGCCTTACTTTGACCTATAATGGTTTACTTTTTACAAATTGTGACTTGGATGGAGAGTTGTCTCATTGGCACTCATACAACATCCTCTTATATCTCAATACATATTTCAACACTGAACCAATGGTTTACGAAGTCAGCTGTGTAAAAAAAGGAGACATAAACACATACCAGCGATATTCTAAATTTTAAACAGGCACATTAATATTTTGATGGGTTTAAGAAGTTTTGCTTTCTCAACCCTTTCCCTTTTAAACCCCCAAAAAAAAAGATTTATAACGTTGGTGTGTCCTCGGTGCTTTTCTGTATTTACTCCGTGTTGAAGGCCGTACTTTAACCTTTAATGGTTTACTTTTACAAATTGTGACTTGAATGGAGAGTTGTCTCATTGGCACTCATACCACACTTATTATATCTAATTACCTTCGTCAGGAACGGCAACCCGTAAATTTGAAGTCAAAGGATGTTTAAATACCCAAAAACGTGAGCGACTATGAGACAAAAAGATTATCCATATTTATCTAATGTAATGTAATAGAAACTTTGCCTGAGTGAGTTGGTGTATATGCTTATTCGTCATTTCTAAATATATTTTTTTTTATGTTGTAGTGTGTGTACTGTTGTTTGGTTTTTCGTTATTTTTTCGTTTTTAGCCTTGGCAATGTCAGTTTATTTTTGACTTTATTCTCTTAATACACGGATAACTGAAAAAGATTACAATTTAAATACGATCTGTATCTACGCACCGACTACTAATGTAAGGATTTATATACCATCGGGAAATAACAGCCCACCAGTCGTCAAATCGACTGATAGCTAGAAAATAAAAATAAGACTTTATACAGTTGGCGCGTCCTAATTTTTTCTGAATTAAAACAAGGAACCTAAATTAATCAAATTCCTATAAGATCGAAATTGTAGGGGGTGTGGACCCCTTAGTTTTTAAAATTTCTAAATTGTAAACGGACATTTGTTTAAATCCGATCACTGGAATTGCACCATGTGTAAATCGTCCACAAAGAATACCTAGTATACATATTTGTTTAGGGGCCAGCTGAAGGACGCCTCTGGGAGCGGGAGTATCTCGCTGCATTGAAGACTCATTGGTGGCCTTCGGCTGTTGTCTGCTCTATGGTCGGGTTGTTGTCTCTTTGACACATTCCCCATTTTCATTTTCAATTTTACAATGAAACAATACAAACTAATTAAATGCTAGTAGTTTTAACCTCCCTATTAATACTTCAACGATTATTCTGATGACAACAGTCAAGTATGAAAGCTGTTGCATTTACCCGTAATACTACCTTTTTCAAATAGGGTGTTTTATTATTTTCAATAAAATAATAAATGTTAGATATTATTAGTTACATAGTGTGCTAGTGACCTAATAAGACATGTATGGGGTCAGTTAATTCTGTATGAGGTGAGAGCGAAACTCGAATCCCCATATGGAATTTACTGACCTCATATATATCGTATTAAGTCATTTGCACACTTTGTTACGAATTTATCTTACTGACTATCTTAACATGTGGTATTTAAATTGGTGGCCTACTTATGTCATCAAGTCTTCAATATTAAGATATCTACTTCCATTGGTTTTCACAAAAACAAATGACAACAATAACAACGTGTTAGATTTTTGTTTCATGAATTTATTTCAATCTTTCATCATCAATTTCTTCGTCTTTTGAAACCTCTAAGATGTTTCCCCAAAATCGTTTTTTGTTTACAAAGGGCCGTAACACCGCTACTAATCATGTATTGAAATAAACCACTCCTACTAACCCCATATAAAATGTACACGGTTTCCACGCGGTTGCTTTTTACCAATCATATTCCTAGAAATTTATAGGAGGTAAAATAAATAATAATATCATTCTGCAAATGCTTTTTCATTGCAGACTTGCTAGATTTTCGAGACAAACCAGTTTTGATCAATTTTTCATAAAGTTTTGTATGTTTAATTTTTAGTTTTGTTCAAAGAGAGGCGGAAAATACCAATGGAATACTCGAACTCAAGTCAAAAAAAAACTGACAACGCAATGGCACTGTCAAGTAAATAGTAAAAATAATATAGCTTTTAAATGACATCCCTAGACTATTTGACTTTGAGAATTTGAAGAGCCATACATATATATTGTATTGATAAGATCAAAAGTTTAGACCATCTAATTATTCATCAATATTTCGACAATACGCAATATGTTCTTCTAACTGTTTATTAAATATATGTAAAATGAATATTCAAGTTCATATTGTTTCACTACAATGATGATATTTTGCTGATATGCATAATTGAATAGTCTGAAGAAGAAGCAATATCGAGATCTGTTACCAGAGGGCTCAGTTTATCGTTTTTGTTTTTATCTATTTCTGTAACACCTTATGCAACCCTTAAAACATACAGAGTTTTCATTATTTTTCACTTAACGTTGTTTGATGGCGAGCTGGGTTCATGAACAATAATTGTTCTATATCATGAAGATAAGTATCAGGCATTATGTGTTTAACTATTTCGCAGAGTGTTTAAATGTTTAGGTAAAATGTCCCTCTCTTGTTTTCCGAATGTTTCATAGCAAAAGTGTCATTGACTATAATTCTTGAACATGATTACTGGTTTATCATTAATTCCATGATCCAAAACATGATTTCACGTACCAAACTTGGTCGCAAGCAAAACCTTTACACACATGTTCATAAATGTGTCATAGCGCACTGATGTGCTTTCCTCTATTTCACAAAAGCTGACAAGTATGTCTAGAGACCATTCGTGTCACCTACCAACATAGATTAGAAATAATTCAGTTCGCTTTATATATACCTCAGTTGTTTTTAACAGGATACAGTTTCTAAGATCACTCGTTTTGTTTCAGTAGGTCTAAGGTAAACAATTAAGATGTGGGTATAAAAATAGAAAAAAAAGCTTGAGAGTTCAATGCTGATAGTAGCTTTACCTATCTTTTGAGACTACATTGAGTCGAAAGTACGGTTGCGATTGAAATCTGCGGTTTGTTGGACCACATTTTATTAATATATTTTATATCAAATGAAACATAAAAGAAAAGATTTGTATGATGCAAAAATTAGAGAATGTACCAGGGGCAATCGAAAATTGTTACCCCAATTAGATAAACAACACTATTGTAAAACAACTCGATACGATGAAGAGAAAAAAAATAATAGCAACATATATTCCTGACAACCAGAGATTGAGCAACACGAACTTATAGAAAAATGAAAATCTCCCTAAACAATCAAAAAGTTAATTAAGCATAACACAATTTACAAGTATGTAATACTAAACTACTTCTCAAAATCGTAATTGCATAAAAATAACCAAAGAGTTGTTGTAAACAGAAGCAAATTAACAAACATATTTTATAATTGCGATCGATGTAAAGAAACACACAATGTATAGATTCCTAACATAAGACAAACGCACATTTGTGAATGTTTATATTGATTGCCATTTTTCTATCATTGATCGCCCTTTTACATTCATAATAAGTGCATTTTTATAAAATTAAAAGGAAAAAACACGGGGAAAACATCGAACAACAAATCAATCGTCAATAATGTTCCACTGCTGAACGTCTTCCAAGGACACAAAATCATCGCCATTGTCCTTCCCTTTAATAGAACTTTCGTCATCCTCATCTGAACTAATGAGCGGTTCTGTTTTTGCTGAAAAGTCGATGTCTGCATATGGTGTTCTGTTGCCATCTCCATGGATGTAAAGATTTCCGCTATGTGTTTGGGGTTCAAAGACAACATCAACATAGTTCAGTTTTGATGAACCACTTTCCTGAAGTAGATATAAAACTCGCATAATTCTATATACCGGTCAAGGAGAGATATACATACACATATACAGTGAATACAAGTACATGATATACAATGTTAGCTTTCACAAAAATAAAAAAAAATCACTTATACCTCGAAATTGGCTTCCATATAAAGAGGATTCGAAAGTAAGTAATCGAGATCAAATTGTGTATTTCCAAATTAAAAAATTAAGGTTAGTATATTTACGGTGTGTCGTTTTTTTCCTTTTCTGTCTGTTAGCTGGAATTTGTCTGTAATAACTATAAAAGAATGCAGTCATCTGATTGAATTTGCGATAGATAGAACAATAAGTTACAGTTAGTGTACTTAATAAAAGAGGGACGAAAGATACCAGAGGGACAGTCAAACTCATAGATCGAAAACAAACTGACAACGTCATGGCCAAAAATAAAAAGACAATCAGACAAATAATAGTACAGATGACATAACATAGAAAACTAAAGACTAAGCAACACGAACCCCACCAAAAACTGGGGGTGATCTCAGGTGCTCCGGAAGGGTAAGCAGATCCTGCTCCACATGTGGCACCCGTCGAGTTGCTTATGTTATTACAAATCCGGTAAATAGTCTAATTCGGTAAGTCACATTCGTGAAAAGGGAAGGGTATTGTAGTTTCGACATAAGGAACATATCCGATATCATCTGTGAAACGGTTATTCCATAACGGTCAACCAACTCGTGATGGCGTCCGTAAAATTTACGAATGGATGACTTCAACTTCACCATTTGGAACTCTTGGTTTAATAGCTTCCTTGTGAGCAGCAATCCTCTATCAAGGAAATCATGATAGGAAACACAAGCCCGGGAATATCGTATCAATTGGGAGATATATACTCCGTATGCAGGCGCTGCTGGAATGTTGCTACATAGAAATGGAAAGTTCACAATTGGGAAGCTGAAATCATCTCTTTTGTCGTAAAGTTTTGTTTTCAACCGACCCTCATTGTCAATTTCTAGATGTAAGTCAAGATATGAGGCAGACTTAACTGTATCTGTAGTATCCTTTATCTCTAGTTCGATGGGATAGATTCGTTCAACATAGTCACCAAATTTTGTATTATTTAGTGAGAGAACATCATCTATATAGCGGAACGTAGAGTTAAAGGATATTGCTAACTTCTTATCTCTCTTCCTAAGAAGCTCCTGTATGAAGTCAGCCTCATAATAATAAAGAAACAAGTCGGCAAGAAGAGGGGCACAATTGGTTCCCATTGGAATTCCGACAGTCTGTTGAAAAATACGTCCTCCAAATGTAACAAATATGTTGTCAATCAAGAAATCAAGCATGTTGATAATGTCAGTTTCAGAGAATTTTTTGTTTGAATCAGAGTGATTCTTTACAAAGTAGGATTTATCCCTCCCCAAGACAAGATACTTGTATCTACGTTCGCCATTCTTTTTAATGAAACAAAGTAATACCAACTCTTTCAATTTGTCTTTTAGTTTGGAATGGGGAATACTTGTGTAAAGTGTAGAAAAGTAAAATGTTTTAATACTATTGCAAGATGAGAGAGTCTTAGATTGTATGTACTCTAAAAGATCTTTGGAATTTTTTAGTATCCACATCTGATTCACGCCACCTCTAGAATAGGCAGTTTCACAATAACTTTGGAGCCCGGCTTTGATTGCTGATAAAATAGATGTTAATAATTTAGAAAGAGGTTTCGTGGAGCACTTGGAAGACCCAGCAATATACCGTTGTTTGTAAGGACACTTATGTAGTTTAGGTATCCAATACAGTGATGGAAGATCCAGTTCTTCGTCTTTGGTTGAAATTCCAAAGGAACATAGAACAGACCTATGATTATCTAGGATTTCCTCTTAGGTAAGTGTCGTGAGGGTATATGTTGAGTTTCCAAGTGAATTGTCAATACCTAATTCATTTATCAAGCAATTCATGTAATGATATTTACACACAAAAACGATGTTGTTTGGGGCTTTATCTGCGGGGACAACAACATATTTGTCATGGAGGTAGGACAAGTGTTTTGCAACATTTGGGTCTTTAAAAATTGATGTAGCGTGGGTATTGATATGCCCATTTAGTTTCTTAATTCGGATTTGTATCAACGACCTCACAGCCTTAATCCATTCGGAAAGAGTATCTACGTCTTCTTTCTCGCGTTTAGCCCATTGCCTGGCATAATCCTCGACTGAATCCATCAGTATTTTGAAGTTGTATTTCCAATTGATGGATTTAGGCTCACGATATTTCGGACCTTTGGATAACAAATTTCGCAGGGAAGTGTTATCGACAATGTTGAGGTCTCCGGAAATAACGTGGCCAGCCGGATTATATGTGAATTGGGAACTAGCACAGGTGCAATCAGGAGGTTTAGACTTGAAGTCGTCAATGTTGAGATCCTGCAAAACGTGTTTGTAATTGAAAATTTTAGTTGCAATTGGTTTGGTATAGGTATAAGAAATTATTGGTACAGACTGATCTTTAAAATAAGGAGGTATTTTCGACTGAACTAATTTATGATGAAGGATATTGCCTAAGTTGACGCCATCGAGACCTTTGTTGGCAAGTTTAAGAAAAGATCTTTTCTCTTTTTCATCTTTTCCAATGCGAACTGGTTTGAAAAGTCTGTGACTTGCAATATCCGAAATAATAGCTGTAAGTTTGTATTGGTTTGAATGAGGGTTTGTAACCGTGGTTTCCAAACATAAATTGAACAGAGAATGAAGTTTTGAAAGGGGTAATGAATACAGTTTCGTGCGAATGTGATGAATACCTAACGGCTTTTGTATAAATGGCAGCAAGTCATTAATAGAGACATCATGCAAAGTAGGTGATGTATAATGACGATGACCATGACTGCGTCTACGTCGAGGAGTAGAGTTGAAAATATTCATCACATTCACCGAGCTACATGAAGGACTAGATAGAATACCTATACCATCAACTTTGTCATTGCAACCATATGGTGTCGCAGTTCCCAATTGTCGAATCCAGTAGTCCTCTTTTTGTCTATGGAGAGGCGTTGCAAGTTGAGGATTGTTAGTCTTGTGGTATATTTTTTCGATTATACGAACTGTCATAGAAACGATGGAATGATCAGGCTGATTGAAATGCTGGTACATTTAATAAGTTGATAAGCACGAAACAGCAGTTGCTTGTAAATTTGTATGCATAAGAATTCAGACATTACGGTTTCTTTTATTGAGAAAAGATCAGCTAGTTTTACGGCAATGAGTTCTTCTTACCATATTTAACATATTTCGATGCTTTGATAATTGTTTCTTATCATGTTTTTCCTTACAAAACACATAATTTTATTACAAATATATGCTAAAACATTTAAAAAAATACAATAAATAAATAAGTATCTAAATTATATTATTTCATTGTCACAACAATTTACCTACTCTTTTGTATACATTTTATCGTTTTGTAAACAAAAGTACTAACTGCTTACTTTTTTCTTGTCCGGCAATCTTGTACGTCACTTCCTGTTTGTCCAAATTTTCCTTGCGTCTGTCAATTGAGGAATATACGTCTGTTCTACCAGCAGATGCTGATTATGATCCGTGTAGATCAGCGGCAGACCCATACAGATTATTCACGATTACACCTACTCCTATAACAAACATTTATTGTGATTCAACTCTCATTCAAAATATAAATTATATTTTGTTTAAATAGGCTTAACAAATTGTGAAATCGTTTCATACGAAACTAGTCCAATCTTTTTTTTTTTAAACGATAACAAATATTTTTATTCAATCATTTCCTGATATATAAATACCTGAGTAGCCCAGGTTGCATACGTTGGAGCCCTGTATTTTTAACAGCCTCACTTGACCAGGGAAAAAATCAAATGAGTTTAAACTCCCATAGATTTACATACATAGTCCAATGTTGAACATGTATGCGAAGACTTGTTTTATTGTGATAGCAGTTTCACAAGAAAATAAAAAGTATTTATTCATAAATCAATGCAATGAAATCTAGAGCATTTTATTCTTATAATACATAAGGAAATAGTTATATTAGTGCTGGTGATTATTTGTTTATTATATTAATGCTGGCGACTATTTTTTTATTAGCTTAACTATTGAATTACAAGTAATACAAGTTATTTGGAACTCGTTTGTTTGTGACTTTTTAGAGTGAAAGGTTGAGGGTAGTTAATATCAAGGACTGAAATTTCGAATTCATTGTTTTGAAGTTTCCGTTAATAAAATATTTTTACGGGCATTGATAACATGAGTTTGAAAACTTACCTTGTATTTGTTGTTCGTTTTCTCTAGACCTACAGGAAAACAAAAAGACTGTTAGTTTGCCTTTCTAATATTTATACACATATATACAGATGTTTCATCATTGTCAAATGTCAAAGAAAATGTTTTGTAATTTTCAGATTTGCAACTGCTTTATATTCTCTTCATTGACACAATATAGATAAAGTAGAGAATAAGTGAACGAACACTATACTATAAACTGTCCATGTTTAATTTCCCTGTTGCATAATTAAAGAAAAACAGTTGAATTTTGAATAACTTTAAGTTGATAGATATATTTATATTCAAGGTGATACCATTCATTGTCACTACAGATATTGCAAAGACACTACTAAGAACTTCATATTAAAATTAGACATGTTGAATTTTAGCACCGCCTTGCAGTCCTCCTTTCCATTAATTCATGTCATCCAATTAAAATGACAAAACTGGCAACAACGGTCTACAAACCACTTTACAGAAAGTCTTAAACCTGAGCAACACACAATCGATTTGCTAATGGCAAATGAAAAATGAACAAGCATTCTGAGAGTGTTGCATGGCAATACATAGTCCCCTACCAGTTAAAAATTAATTGTACTGGAACAAAATGCTAACTTGATCTATAACTTGTCATGGTGTAAACTATATAACAAATATCAAGTCAATATCTTCAAGCATGACGAAAAAAAGTGCGGAAAACTGATAATTTAAGTGAATTTTCTAAGTCCAAAAACCATAACTCTGCATAAAATCTTCATTTTTTTTCTTTAATCCTTGCAATAAGATCAAGTGTAGATAAACATTTTCTAAAGATGAAAATAGTAAAATTCAGTTATGGTATTTGAACAGAAATTCCAACTCCGTGGGATATGTTTGCCTCAGTATCTTGTCTGTTACCGTTATTTGGAGGACATGGCACTCCTAATTGTTTAACTTATATGACATCTCAAACGTCATGATGACGGTTAACAGAAACTGCACCTTGAAATTGAATTCGTATTCAAATATCAGTATACATCACATTTTGATAAGCAATTCTATGGATAAAACATCATCATTTGATAAAATGTTGAAATAAACTAATTGATTTAATTGCCATTTAAATACAATGAATGAGGAATAGCCCTGAAAAATTAACTATGTGTGCTGAATAATTCTACTATTGACCTGTGTATAACATTTTGCGCCTCTTTTTTATGTGCGAGTTTCTTCTCATGATAATGACGTAACCAGAGTATGTTAACAAAACGACAACGACCAGGAAATTCAAAGAGCTCCGAGGACGCCAGGTTTAAAAGTCATCAGTTGCCGAGGATAGCCCTCACAAACGACCCTGTGCATAGGTATTAAGTGTTATCGACTAGCTCACACACATCAAATTGTTTAATTATTCAATATTTATATCACATATTCAACTATACACCAAAAACCATTCAAACCGACAACTGTGTGGATTGTTCTCATCAAACAAGCATTATTATGCAAATGATTTCCATACAGAATATAACATATATAACCCAGGGCACTACTATCTCTTTAAACACCTTTGGGGAAACATATCTGTTGATTGTCAGCAAGGTGATATATTCTATTTAATCATACGGATGATATTTAGAATTATCGTCTTCTTTCGTCATATTTGTGATTTGCTCTGTATGCAATGTGTTGGTAAACATCAAAGTTTAAGATTTACTCATATCTTCGTATTCCTACATTACGACAGGCATATTTCCTGATTGTTAAATAACTGGTTATAAGAACATATTCTTTTCTATCGACAAATTTTAAAGAAATTTTCATAGTCAATGCTTTAGATTGAAGAAATGTTAAAATAAAACATAGAAATGGAAGTAGATTAATCATTGTTAAATATTCCAAACGTCTATTCAAATATCGAGTCAATTTGGAAAAAAAAAGATGTATCAACAACAGAGTATAAAAAGTATATCAGCATAACCGAAGAGACATTAGTTGTCAAAATGCGTGTGTACCGTTAAAGTGATAACAATAATACAAACACTATACCTTTGATAATCTTGTCTCTTTGCTTTTTTAATAATAAAAAGATAAGTTATAAAATAACATTGGAAACATTCTTGAAACACATTAGAAACAAATTGCTTTTGAAGACGTATTCCTATTTTTATTGTGCATTGATTCCAAAATCAGATACAAGGTTAGACTATCATCAATCTTATATAACATGAACATCGGACCCTTTAGTTTATGGCAGTCTATTTTGATTTTACCTGCAATCATTTGTAATTAAATTATGATTTTACTAGTTTATGTTAGTTTTTACCTTAAATTTATAAATTAAGGCGACAGTTCTTAACCAATGCTCAAATCTCGTAAATCGATAAGGAGGAGACACATCAAGGTAATAAATAGAAACTAAGGGAATCCCTACATGAGCTAGAGTTGATGTGGCAATGGGTAAGCGTCTCTTACTTTGTCTTCACCACCCGCCATGTGTAAATTGGTACCTAAAGGTCTTCCTAGACCACAAAACATGTCTTTATTGAGTTAAGACACATCGTATCGGTCAACCAATGTTTGTAGGTGATGGTTGAATGAACGGTGTGACGATTTCACATTCCTCATAACTCTGTTTGAGCAGTTTTTGTGTAAGGAGCACACCCCTTAATCAAGTCAATTAAATATAGAACAAACATGCACAAGCGTAACGTATTATCTTATATATGGTTATATCGTACGATGTAGCAGAATGCATGTTACTGTTTGGAAATGGAAGTTGACATTTGGAAAGTTGAAGTCATTACGTTTATCATATATTCTACCTTAAAGTCGTCCATCTGTGTCATATTGAGGAAAAGATAAGAGACGTAACCATACATTGAAATATGGGTTATTTAGTGACCGACGTATAACTGACGTAGATGAAATAAGTAAGTTCTGTCCAAACAAAACCATAAAGTCGTTATATATCTAAAGTTTGAGAGAGTTTCTTTTCAACCACAAATATAAAATACACAGGATATAATCTGAAATGATACGTTACACTTGTTGCAACTTTACTTCATTTGAAAGTATTTCTTAAAAAGGAACATTAAATGTTTTCACTGACATAAATTGTTTGATTAACAGTAAAACCAACCTTTTCTTAAGCGCCACCATGTAAATAGTATGCAGACTGTAAAGGTGAAAACAAGAACAAATCCGATGTATTTCGTTCCAGAACTGCTCATTTCATCTTGGATATAGAATTGAAAATTATCATAAAAATATTGGCAAGACAGAAAGATGATGAAAGACATAATGGTATAGATTGGTTATTTCAAACAAAATTTACTCGTGCAGCTCCCTTTAATCATGTCTAACATTTTTGTAACTTTATTTTATATCCATGCCATATTTTCAAGGTTTTGATGTTTTAGATTTATATAATAAAAAGCGTAAATAAAACACGTCAAATGAGGATTTCATTACCTCAATCATTCTTTATGATCAACGTATAACGCTTATATTTGATCCAAAGTTATGCATGCCCTTAAGACTTCTAGCAGTATACATTTCAAAAATAAGATACCTTTTTTAAGTATCGTATTAACATCTGTCAAAGTACTATTGCCTTGTTTGTTACATGCATACATTCGCAATTCATATTTAGTGCTTGGCTCCAGGTTTTTTAAGCAATACTGGTTAAAAGAGTCTTCAATTTCAAGCCACAACCATGCCAAAGATGATGCTTTCCTATACTCAATAATGAATTTTTGAGAGCTTCTGCCATCAAATCCGGTATGAAATTCTACATGAATTTGATTTGTTGTCGATTGACCGCGAATATTCGTTGATTTTTCTGTTTTGCTTGAAAAGGTAAAACAATACACGGAAACACTAAAACAGATATATCCACATCCGTTTTATTTTTATACAAAACATTTATTTACACTGGATCATATAACAAATCTTATTTGTTACATGCAACTCACGTTCATATTTCAGTCATAGCTTTCACATTATGTACGATATACTTAGTAACTCAAATCAAAAATCTGAGAACAATTAATGCCGATAACTCTTTGTGTTTCTATATCTTTATTCGTATTTCGGGTTGCTCAGTCTTTAGTTTTTCTGTGTAATTTTTTGTGATTGTTGTAGGATTTTTCATCGTTTTTATTTTTAGCCAATGTTTTGTCTGTTTGATATGATTGTACCATTGGTATCTGCTCTCTCTCTTTTTATACTGTCATAATGATGCATACGTCTATTTAACATGTTTTGGCTCTGTTCAATAAAGACTTTTATATAAAAAAGATAAAAATTAAAAAGTCAGTTTTAACAGTTCAAACGATGTGGCACATGTATACATTCATAATGTTTTTTTTTTCTAATTGACTTGTAAAAAATCAAAAATCTTTAGGCTATTTTAGAAATTTATTTTAAAACAAATTCTGCATACATGTGTAAAAGATATTTATGCCACATGCACCATTGTAACTATTAACAGTTGCGCATTTATAACACTTCCCTAACGGATTTATTGATGATACTCACTTGCAGACACAAGCGAAAAATTAAACGCGATTTCCCCAAACTGGTTTTCTATATTCACGGTATAGTTTTGAAAATCTTCCTTTTTTGTTGTCTGAATCCAATACACGCATTTATACGAAGGAACTTTGAATAGATTTCCAAAAAAATCCGTTTTTGTCACAGATGGAGAACATGTACTAGTATTCAGGAGCATTTGTCTTTCATCAAACCAATCTGCTTTTAGCACGTTTGAAGAACTAAGAACAAAAACTGTGACACTGGAGGTGTCATCAAAATTGCCAATAAAAATGTGTTTTCCTGGGTTAACTAATACCGGAATACCTGCAATTGAATGATGAAGATTTATCAGAATTATTTTATGAACAAGCACTTAATAATTATATTGTATAAAAAATCACATATAGTTAATTTTTGCTGTATGTCTAGTGGCTAACAAATCGTGTCTATTTTACGTCACAATAAGTCACTTTTTTTCTTCCAAATCAGGACTAGGAAGCAAGCACTTATAATTCAAATATCTTAAAATACTTAATGTGTAAAATTTGAAACAGCAAGCAGATTTTTTTTTATCTTACGACATGCTTTAAATGTGCGTTGAAAATGAATGAAATTAAACTAACATCCTCGACTCGTTTGACATACATAAAATGTAACAAATGCGTTTTTGTCCATATATTATATATATAAGTTTTCCGTTTTACATACATCTAATATTTTTTAAGAAATATTGAAAATTAACTATTTCGAACCAATATTCATTAAAAGGTCTTTCCTATATTTTAATTTTTACAATTGTATATTTTTTAAATATTCGATTTTATTTATGCTCTTTAAATAAACTATAAGTCAATATTATCGTTTTCATAATCTTATCTAAACTCTTCTAATAGCTCAAGTTTGTTAGGCCGATTTGTTATAGTATGCCGATTGTGTTAAAGCTAGCGGAAGTAGTAGTAAGCATACAAATCGAAATAATTAATAAAAAGTAAAAGAACATTCGGAAATAATTTTGCTTTTATAATTATTCATCAACTTACAAAAAATAAACATCATTAGGGAGGATAACAAACAAAACTTTCCATACAATATTTAGAGTATAATGTAATATTGATTGCTTTGATCTGCAAGACGGACAAGCGACACAAAAACACAGGTCTTATTTAGTATTATAGATACCAAAAAGTTTATCTCGCTTTGTAACAAAAAGCAGCTAAGAGACCGTTGGATAGTCTCATACAAGTACTTGTATATACAAACACCCATGTTTCGCCTCGGTCAACAAATTGTTTGGGGAATAACCAAAAGGGTCAAGAGATTGCTTTTTTGACCCACATGGTAATATGTATAATTGTTATATAAACTACATTGTAAGTCGATATATGATTACATTTAATTACACATTATCATTTTGACTGAAATGCACTTTAAAAATCTTTCATTCGAGATCATAGAACTAGTAAAGTTTTCATTTTTAACTGTTTTATTATATCTAAACTGTATCAAATAACATAATAATCTGCTTTCAACAAAATAAGATGTTTAACTTTGTTGTTATAATTTTTTTCTCAATAATTTTTATAGTTTTTCTAACGATAACAAGTAAAAATGACTCTCTACCTTCAATGATCACTTCCACCTTTCCCGCTTTCCATACCAGGCCGTCCTCATCTGGAATGCCGTTTGTTACATTGCAGATATAAATACCACTGTTTTCATACGTAAGTTCTTGATGTGGCAAAATGAGGGTTCCATTTGTATATCCCTGAATAGTTCTTACAAGCTGATCATTATGAGTGAAATGTCGCCATTCACTGAATTTGTACGTGTTTGGTACACCTTTAGCCTCACATTTGAGAGTGATAGGTCCATCGTTTGTTTTAAAGGTCACGTTATAGTTTTGAACGACTGGGGAATCTGTAAAATATAATATCTGTCATCAATAGCTTAAAACATCTAAATGCATCATAGCATGTGTCAACTAAAAAAATAAACAAGTCATTTTATAGATCGTCTAAAGCTATTGCGAAGAAAGCACATACACTGCTCTCCCGCTAATGTTTTGTAAAACTCGGTTATCACATTGATTTTAACTCTAAAAAAGGGAAAACATCCTCTTTGTTGGTGACGTCATTTGTTTATGAAGCTTGATTTGCCACCATGAAATCAATAAAAGGTAAAAAGTAAAATCACACAAATACCGAACTCCGAGGAAATTCAAATTGGAAAGTCCCTAATCAAATGGCAAAATCAAAAGCTCAAACACATCAAACGAATGGATAACAACTGTCATATTCCTGACTTGGTACAGGCATTTTCTTAGGTAGAAAATGGTGGATTAAACCTGGTTTTATAGCTAGCTAAACCTCTCACTTGTATGACAGTCGCATAACATTCCATTATATTGACAACGATGTGTGAACAAAACAAACAGACACAATAGGTAAAAATGTCAAAAATTGGGGAACAGCAGTCAACATTGTGTTATAATCTTAATCACTATAAAAACAAACTAATATGTAACAAAGAAACACAAAAATGTATGTAGACAAAGCCCATTAGCAAAAATGAAAGACAAGAATACAAAAATTTACCATAACACAATGACGGGATGTATAAGTACAGAGCCACGTCATATGTAACAAAGAAACACAAAAAGGCATATAGAAAAAGCACATTAGCAAACATGAAAGACAAGAATACAAAAGTTAAACATAACACAATAACACAATGACGGGATGTATAAGTACAGAGCAACGTCATATGTAACAAAGAAACACAAAAAGGCATATAGACAAAGCACATAAGCAAAAATGAAAGACAAGAATACAAACATTTACCATAGCACAATAACACAATGACGGGAAGTATAAGTACAGAGCCACGTCAAATGGATATAAAAAAATAGACTAAACAGTAAAAGTAATATTCAAAAAGACAAATAAAAGAATACTTTAACACGTTATTAAGATAATAAACAACGTCAGTACACAGAATCTATACTTCAAGACCATCGTGTATAATTTGTGAAGTTGATACGGAATATTTATCAATAAGGTCTTGGTATCTTCCGATGAACTTTTTCAGAAAAAGGATGAGATGTTCTTTGACATACCCCTGGTTCATCAACTTTCTGCTCAAAAAACTGGTGACGGGTTACAAAGTCTGGGTAGCAGCTGCAAGCTCTTGAATACCGAATAAGTTGGGAAATGTATATCCCATATGCAGGTGAAGTTGGTATATTGCTACATAGGTGGGGGAAATTGATAATTTCAAAATTAAAATAATTTAAATTAAAAAGATACCAACGCCACAATTAAAACAAATCCGAATCCCCCTTGAGGCAATTAGTTCCTTCTTCACTAGCGACATTCGTCGTTGTGATTATTGTAAGTTGCAAGTAAGAATTGTGCGATAAGTATCATTCGATAATACTAGTATACAAATCGTGAATAGTTGGATGGGATTGAAATAGCGACAAGTTGACTACATCTTTGGTCATTTGTGACACATATATTAAATAATTTTCAACCAAAGCATGATAGCAACCGTTACAACTGTTAAAAGAGATGACTTCAACCATACAATTAAGAACCAAAGATGAATACCATTCCTGTCAGCAGGAACCACAATTCAAAGGAATCCTAATTTGAAATGTAAGGCTTCCAATAACTTATCAACTTTGCGATACATAATTGATATGCATGTGCTTGAATTTCTTTGTATATAAATGAGATCTAAATGGTTATTGAGGTCATCATTTTTTTTTCTATCTTATTGTAAAGCGTAGTTAACAATCAATCAGCTGTGTCCCTATATAACACAGTTTAAAGTATAAAGCAGAACTACATTTTGCAAATGTGTTTGTGGCATCAGTGAAAAAGGAAAACAACATTTCATAAACTTCATGCGTACGAAGCCTTCATCAGGAACGCTCAAACCCTAATACATGAATGTCATCGATGTATAAGATCCGAAACTATAGAAGATCTATTTGACCAAAAGGTACCTAAAAATTATACCGAAATCTATCGACGGTCAACTGTGTATCCACCGATCGTAACAGACTTGTTACCAATTACAAAAAGAAAAAGAAACATAAAATGAAAAAGCAACACCACAGTAAAAGCGAAAAAACGACGCCAAAACTCTACACCTTAGATAACACAAATTTATCAAAACAAGGTCAATCCGTCTTCTTGTGATTATTGAGGATTACTTGTAAAAGAATAGAGAAGTGACGTGTTGTATGTTACTGCAAGGTGAGCGGGACTAAGACTTGAACCATACGGATCTGTAGAATTTTGTGGTTTCCATATCTGATTTGAAAGTATAAATACTTCGTAAAAGCGTTTGCATGCATTCCCCGAAGTTTTGTTTTTAATATATCTTTAAATCATATAATAGTGACAAATCTCCAAACATTGTTCCAAAATAGTATGATCCTATCAAAACGATAGCACGAAAAAGTTATAAAAAAACTAACTCACTCACATGTTACAGTGACATTTACAACATCGCAATCCTCTCCAGCAATATTCTTAACAGTGCAGGTGTACTCGCCAGTGACATCAGAATCTGCACGTACAATTTGTAACGTCTTTGTATTGTTATTTAGCAGTCGCCCATGTTGGTTCCATGAAAAACTGTTGATTATTTCATCATTGCCAGATTCGTCCTGACATACTAATGTAATGCCGTGACCTTTTTGTACTGTCGGTGGACTTGGATATGAAACAACTTTCACATCAGGTTTAACTGTTTAATTTTAAAATAATTAGACATACATGTATGAGAACAATGTTGTAAAACCACTCATTAGTAATTTGATATTCCAACTAGTTCAGATTAACAATTATATTGCTTGGTTTTCGTGTATTATTGATCTTTTAGAGACGACAATAAATCATTGATGCAGCCATTAACAATATTATTAATGCGATAATAATGTTTGATTTTACGTTATATTTTAAAACATTCACATAACAACTATTTTAGATTTATTATATTCTACATTTACTTACAGATTAGACTCAGTTGTACTTTCGCTTCAAGAAAATAACTATTTTCACTACTGTTTGCAAAGCATACAAACTGTTTCATGTGGTCAGATGGCTTTGCTGTGAATTGATATATTACATACTTAGACTTATTTGACCTAAGTATCGTGCCTCCAACTGTCCAATATACAACCGTATTTTGTTGTGCACCATGTATTGAACATGTCAATGTAATATTTTCTCCTTCTCTGCGTTTTATTTCACTAGAATTGTTTGCTTCGACAATAGTCACGGCTTAAAGAATAAATTAAAAGACAAATGCAAAATATGTTCATAAGGTTTAAACCAGTTAAGCAACTACGAATCAAATGAAGACATCGGATCACTAGTTTTCCGAATTCGAAACCAAATAACCTATGAATCTACATACATACGTACGCATTGGGACAGGTAATACTTTAAAATACACAGTCCCTTGAATAGTATATTTAGCTTGAAATTAACCTTGTGTAATTGGTAGCAATGTGTATCTTATCCCCATCAAATCTATAACACAGGATAAAGACAAAATATATACAAAGTATATCAGCAAACAAATGGTTCTACTTATAAATGTTCATCCCATTATATCACTTTCTTTGATATGGTGGTTTGTCTGTGATGAGTAACAGCGTTTTAATTGATTTTTGCATTGTTTCGACCCAAAAGGTTTTTTAGATACTGCTAGTGCTCTTTGGAAGCTTTATCATTTGTACTTTTTTGAACAAATGTGCGAAATATACCATAGATGCATTCAAAATTCATAAATCGAAGAGAAACTGACACCGACATGGTAGATAATTTAACGAAAATATGGATAAGTCCACCAAACAATACTCAGATGCTCCGAAACCTTAGCAAGACCTATTTTACATGTGAAACCCGTCGTGGTACTCCATTGAAATACTTTTGTATGATCTATCGAGCGAGTAGGCGTCACGAAATAGCGCATAAGGTATTTACTCTTAGCCTACCTTTATACATGAACAAATTGGTAAAAACAATCGATCATGTAATTGTCTCACACTAAATCTTTTGGAATGAAGTTTTCAGAACAAAGATGATTAAGAATGTTGCTAGAAGAAAAAATAACTAAAACGTCCATATTTCGGAGGCATGCTAATGACAACAAAACATTTTACACATACGTAAGACAAAGGATATTGAAATAACAACAAATTGCAAATCAAAAGCTCAAACACATCAAATGAATTGGAAACAATTGTCAACTGTCAAACGGCAATGTTTGTTCTCAAATTATTTGACAGATTTTAGTTAAATATTGAATTAATTACAAAGTTGAAGAGTTCATACAAACTGTTTCGTATTGCCACTTCATACACTTCACACTGTAATAGTTAATCAAATAAAATAATTGTACCATTCTGCAAGGCCACTACTTTCTATTCAATAAACAATAGTTTGCACTATGTAAGGAAACGTTGTTTCATAATACTTTGTTTTTAATAAATGTGACATAAGCTGCAAAATGCGTTTGCACCTAATTGACTCTTTTTAATTTGATTTATAACACTCAATATCTACCATAACGTAAACGCATCCATATGAAACAATAAACAATGCATGAACTCGCAATAAAGAATCAGCATTTCGTTTGTTTTATTTTAGATCAAGATATCATCCAGTTAATCACCGATGTGACTCCTGAAGGATGCTGACAGATTTTCCTATGTCCGGTTAATCTCATGTAGAAGATCAACAAACTATGTAAATCGGCGCTTTGTTTGTAGAAGAAGAGTTTTCGTGGATTTAATCAGTCAACGAAATGGTTCTTCTTGAGGCTTTCGCGTTGCACGTTCGGTTTTGAGATTCTTTGCTTTCTAATAACGGAAAAAGCTGAGCACTTACGCAACCCATCTTCAACGTATGGTTAACTGTTTTGTACGAACCAAATGGGGAGAAACCATTGCCTACCACGACATGATATAGCAGAGGCTAGTATTGCTACACAATTGGAATCAAATAGGTTTCTAATAGCGAGTTAATATTTCAATATTCCACTTTCAATAGTGTTTGAAAAAATAACAATCATATTTGTCTTAGTATAAATGTAATACACCTTCATTAGATAAAATTTTGTATACAATTGTGGCGAAGGATAAGTTACAACTTACACCGAATTTGGATATCAAAACCGTACATGGGTTCTTTTGCATCAGGGTAAGTGACAAAGCAACGGTACTGGCCAACATCTTCTATTTTGAAATCCTTTATAGTCAAGTTTTGGCAGTCATCTGTTACATTTATTCTGTGAAATAGACTTTTTTTTATAGCTGCGTTTCCATTTTCACATGACGCTAATATGTCTCCTGTATCAAACTTCTGCCAACTACTAGATTGGTTGTCCGGACATGTCATTTGAATCTTCTCCCCAATAGCAGTAAATTGTACAGTAACAGGACTGGCTGATAAACCTAAAAGAAAATAAGCATAAAATACAAGTATCATGCAACCGCGCTCATACTACCATATTGACATGTTTTGTAAACATGAAACCTGGATCATAATGATCCAAGTATTGCGTATATTGTCACATCAAAATTGACAAAATGAACAAATGTACTAAGTTTCAAGTCGATTTGATTGATGTGACCCCTAATTCATGGTAAACTAAATTAAATAAAACTGAAACCGATCTTAGACGAACTGATGAATGGAGTAATTGATGGGAGGTCTTACAGGTAGAGCGCAAACAGCTTGTTTTTCTAACTTTTTGATATGTTCATTGAAAACATTGGCACTTCTTGCTGTTGTCATTTTTTTTTCGGGTAAAAGTAAACGATGTATACAGGTTTGGTACAAAAACAATGTAATCATTAAATGATTTTGCGGTTGAATCCAATGCAGAATATTTTTAGGATGTGTTTCATTCTGATAATCATGTTTATATAGATACATCTGTAGCATGGAATATGTTGAATAAGCATACATAATCAGAGGTAAAATATGTTCCACCATTTGAAAGTTTCTCTATCTACTATCTATTCTTATTTCATATAAAAGCTCATTTTTATTAAGAATTTTCATTAAGTTATTCTTATCCAAATTGAATGATTATTATATACAGAAATGTCTGCAGTTTCTTGCAATAAGTAGTTTGATACTTGTATGATTTATACTTTGTGGAAATCGATGTTTTAAAGCAAATCTGAATTTCTGCACGAAAACAATATATATGGCTTTATGGCTTTATAGGTATATATTATTTCATTTCAATATTTGTTTATAAATAATTTCATTTGAAATGACATAATATCCATCTTAATGCAGGGCTAGAAAACGTTTCCCATTGACAGTTTAACCTTTATTTTAAATCGTTACCACAGGAAGTTTCCTTTTAATTAAATAGCAAAGATAAACGCAAGATATTTCCGTCCACATACCATTCTAGATTAATGATCATCACAGATAAAGCAATCAAAACCGAGGCTGTTATACCATATTTATAAGAATGAAAAAAAATGATGTGATACATATAACTTTATGTAAATAATCTGACGGCGGCTATATATTCTAGTACAATGTTTTTTTAGAATTATCTATTTGACTGGTGTTAGAAGATATCCCTATCTCACATTGATTCCAAAAATACAATTTTTAAGGTACTTTTTTTCATAAATTAAGGGATAATAAACCACTTTCGGGTTAATCAAATGCACTTCCGGTGTCAAATACGCTGATTTCAAAATTATATGAATTGTATATACTTTTGCTTGAAATAATAGAGATAATTTGCTGCTTCTGGTTTACAAAATTTCACTTAAGTGTCATCTGATATGTTACTTCACACTGAAGGCAATTTCGAATAACCTGAACTTTATGTAAATAATCTAACGGCGGCTATATATTCTAGTACAATGTTTTTTAGAATTATCTATTTGACTGGTGTTAGAAGATATCCCTATCTCACATTGATTCCGAAAATACAATTTTTAAGGTACTTTTTTCATAAATTAAGGGATAATAAACCACATTCGGGTTAATCAAATGCACTTCCGGTGTCAAATACGCTAATTTCAAAGTTATATGATTTTTATATACTTTTGCTTGAAATAATAGAGATAATTTGCTGCTTCTGGTTTACAAAATTCCACTTAAGTGTCATCTGATATGTTACTTCACACTAAAGGCAATTTCGAATAACCTTTGCAAGGTCAAATGTCAACCATACTTATTGCTAAAGACCCCAGGGTTGTATCATGTATAAAAATAAATTTGTAGCAATGTCCAAATCTACAAATGACTTCAAATCAAAAGACCATAAGTTTTTTTCTGCATATGGCCAATGAGGTATATCACACTACAGCTAATTTTAAACATTACAGGGAAGAAAACTTCCATTAAATGTAAACCCTTTTATTAAACCAAAAAATGTGTTGTATGCCACAACTAAGTTTAGTAAAAAATAGTTTGTCCATATCTTGTACGGTATCTGAGGAATAGTGGTAATAAGACAAAATAAAATTTTGGAACATGACCTTGACCTTCGACCTTCACCTCATTTATTTTAAGGTGGACCAAGGACCACAAATCAAAATGCCTAAGATCTCTATCACCTAAGGTTTAACAGTTACAAATACAAACCACTTATATCAAATACATAAGGGGAACTAACTCTCATATGGAATCTCTGGATTGCTTCGGACAACATTGTTTTCGACATTTCGATCTCATGAGGCTGTAACGAGAAATCTGGGAAAACAAATTTGTCGGTTTCTTTTACGGTTCCGAAGGAGAAGAGATCACAAGAACAGTGTTCAGGGAGATAACTCTTACAAGAAAAGTGTTCGGTTAAATGTGTCAGTTTCATAAGCGTATAAACTGTTCGATATCATATACCAATTATCTAAGCAATATCTTGAGGAACAATAAAGCCTCGCAAAAAATAAAAGTGGCGAAAGAAAAGAAAAAAAAAACTCAGAACAAAATCAGTAGGTCTTTCCACGACACAGTGGAAAGACATAAGAAAACTACATGTCTTATAGTATAGGATAATTTATTCAAGAACTAATAAGAAAAACTAAGTATCTTACCTTCAAATAATATATACAACAGTATGTTCCATATCATACTTTTTATATACAATTTTGCCATTTCTAAAAGTATAAACATGTATATGTATTAATCTATTTGCTCTTATGGTTGTGGCCAATTAAGTAAGGAAAAATATAATTTATCATATCACTATGAACAGAGTGTGATATGAATAATTTGACTACCTCCGTAAGATATTCAGTATGCCTTTCTAAATTACAAAATGTACGGTGCACATCACAGGTCGTGTCATGGCTGTTCAGAATATACATTTTGTACATGGGTTTTGAGATGGGATCGTTTTCAAGATGTTTGACGATTAATTATATGCAGGGGACGGGGCATGTCATCAAGGGGCAAAACTATGGGGAACTAGAGCGTTTTCATTAATGCAATTATGACTATATAATATTATGGTTAATATTAGTTTTGATATATTTATTGTATGAGGGTTCTGAACATGACATAGAGAGAAACCCCTTTAAGGCACGACAAAGGCATGGCAGAAAAGAAAATGTATGGTTTTAGGGTGGATAAATAGAAATCAATTATTTGACGTTGCAGTTCAAATGTCAAAGGTATTATTCAACGGTACATAACACCGATTTTTGATATGCTCGACTATCAATTATACGAGGGGCTGGGGATGACTACCAGGGGCAAAGTTCATTGCATTAAAAAAGTCTTGAAAATGGCAATACCAAATTAGGGATGTGGGTGGACATGTAAAAATAAATTGACATTGAAAGTCATGCGTCCAGGTAATAGGCAACCTTGCATGGTACGTTATATGTCATCTTAAAGTAATTTACACATCTGCCGAATATCAAAAGCATATGTCAAAGGATAAACAAGTTAGAATCAAAACAATGAAACGTTAAAAAAAAACATATTTTTTTTTTGTCAAAGTGACATGAAGGGTATGGTGTTATACGACATAATTTGTACATGTAATTAGCCGTTTTGTGCCCGCAAAGGGTTGTTTAAGAAGAAGAAAAAAGATAACTCAAACATAATGTCTCTATTCTTTGAAGTAGAGACATGAATACTTAACACAATCCAACTAATCACATCTGGATAAATAAATTTTTAGAAAAAAAGCCACGATAATAAATATAGAAAGTGAGATAACAAAACTTCCGAACTCCGACATGTCCAAAGAAGATTCAAAACGGAAAGTCAAAAGGAAAATCAAAAGCTTAAACACATCAAACGATTGGAAAAAAACTGACTGTCATATTCCTGACTTGGTACAGGCATTTACTTATGTAAAAAATGGTGGATTAAACCTCGTTTCATAGATAGCTTAACCCCCAACTGGTATGCAACTTGTTTATAGTTCCTTTATATTGACACAATTGGGTAATCAACCCAAACAGACATAAAAGTAGTCATGTAATTTCCAGTAAAACCATAGTAAAAATATAAACTGAATTTAACAGAATATAACAATATTTCATATGCAAAACACATACTCCTAGCAACCAATCAATATTCTGATAGTGATGATTGTTCAAGCATGTAATGTAACAAACTAAACATGACCATTTGAACATGAAAAAAAGTTCAAGGTTATGTGAGAAGGTGTCATCATAGACTCTCTGTAGACATCACTACACGAAATCTCGGATTTAAAGAGGTATGCAAATGTTATGTAAATATATTCAGAGACCGACATTTACATATATTAACAAAAGGCTTTACATGCTATGGAAATAAAATAATTATATTGAGCATATCTTTGAGGACCTCCTAAATAATGTCAAAGATATAATACATTTACATTTATATTAGTAGGTCCGCAAATATATCTGGCAGAAAAGTAGTGTTTGTCGTGACAATTGAAATAGCAACATCAGTTGTATTTTGAACAACGCCTAAGAACACAATGGACATTTGTGTTGTTGTTGCTCGCAAGGAAAATAAATAAAATCATTCTAAAAGTAAGTGAACATGTATCTGTTCATTTTTTATCGTGAAACGTTTGATTTTCTTAATCGTTTTGGCTTAAAAAATCAAAAATGCTGACTTTGGACGTGTAACATAGGGACGCTTCAAAGTACAAAAGTTCTAAATTTTCATATTGAATCGAAATAATTATATCATGCCATGCTCTATGCTAATTTTATATGGGTAAAAACATATTTGTTGCGTCTGGAGGACGTGTTTATCAACAAATAATCGGCATTCCAATTGGAACAAACGGTGCCCCTCTTCTTGCCGACTTGTTCCTTTATTCATATGAGGCTGACTTCATGAAGGAACTTCTTAGGAAAAAAAAAGTTAGCGGTATCCTTTCACTTTACTTTCCGTTATATATATATGATGTTCTCTCACTAAATTATTCGAAATTTGGTGACTATGTTGAACGAATCTATCCCATCGAATTTGAGATAAAGGATGCAACAGATACAGTTAAGTCTTATACCTAGAAATTGATAATGAGGATCGGTTGAAAACAAAACTTTTCGACAAAAGAGATGATTTTAGCTTCCCAATTGTGAACTTTCTATTTCTATGTAGCAACATACCAGCAGCGCCTGCATACGGAGTATATATCTCAAAGCTGATATGAGAATACCCCTAGTTTTTGGTGGGGTTCGTGTTGCTCAGTCTTTAGCTTTTCCTGTTGTGTTTTGTGTACTATTGTTTGTCTGTTGGTCTTTTTTTTTCTTTTTAAGCCATGGCGTTGTCAGTTTATTTTCGACTTATGAGTTTGAATGTTCCTCTGGTATCTTTCGCCTCTCTGTTAAAGATGTTGACAAATATAATGCCTACTCATGTTGAAATGAGCATAGAGCATGGCATGACAGAATTATTTCTTATATAGGTAAAAGCTATATCACTCATTCAACCTTAGCATTCAAATCAAAGTTCACAAAAAATAACAGGTGTCTTCTATTCCGTCCGCAATTTTTTTGGAAAGTAAAATGTAAAGGAGTCAGTTCGGTAAGGATCATATTTGGCCTCGATTATCAAGTTCAATGTTTCAAGATGAAAAATATTTGAAGTTGATGAAAAGACGTGTGCATAGTGTGAAAAAGTGTTATATAACTACCTTTGAAGATGTTATATATTAAAGCGTTCATATTTACATCCAAATTAGGCCAAAAATAAAAAGTTTGCAAAATTTCACAAAATCGGTCGGATTTCATCCTAATCAAGGCCTTTGAAACATAGACCAGAGGCGTCGACAAACTAAACATTCAAGTCAGACATGTAAAATGTCAAAACAAACATTATGTAAAAAGATCTTTTTGTCGAGGTATGCGCTCTATGTTTACTGTTAAATACTTAGTTTCTTTATAATTTCAAAATTCATCAACGGACAATTTAAGAACGTTTTTTTTTATAAATCATGTCAGTACCGAAGTACTGACCACTAAGCTTGTGATACCCTCGGATACTGATAGTCCACCAGCAGAGTTATCGATCCAGTGCTGAAAAAATTGAAGACAAGACGTTATAAATTGCATGCATCCGAAATGCTTTTCTGGATTAACTGTCAGAAGGAACGCCTAAAGACGAATGTTTGAAAGCCAATGATGTATAAGAACCAAAACTGTTGAAGAGCGATATGGCAAAAAAAGACCTAAAAATTGCTAAATTCGTTAAGGTAAACTATGCCTAAGGGAGTCGAAACCTTAGTTCCTTTATAATTTCAAAATTTATTAACGCACAATTTCCAGAAATGGTTGTTATAAATCATGTCAGTACCGAAGTACTTACTACTGAACTGATGATACCTTGGGTACTGATAGTTTAACATCAGAGGTATCGACCCAGTGCTGTAAAAAATGAAAACAACACGTTATAAAGTGCATGCATATGAAGCGCCTTTATAAATTATAACATTTGAAAGCCAAGGATGTATAAAAATCGAAATATTTAAAGAGCTATATGACAAAAAGGGCAAAATTAGGAGCCAAATCGATCTATGGTTAACTTTGTCTGAGGAGGTTGAAACCTTAGTGTATTAATAATTCATTAACGGATAATTTTAGAAACGTTTGTTATAAATCAGGTCAGTACCGAAGTAATGAATACTGAACCAATGATGAGCTCGTAGACTGATAGTCCACCAGCAGAGGTATCGCCCCAGTGCTGTAAAAAAATAAAACAGCACGTTATAAATTTCATGCGTATGAAACGTTTATCTGGATTTACCTTCATCAGAACGCTCAAAGCCGATTTCTTGAAATATGGATGTTTAACAACCGAAACAGCTGAAGAGCTAAAGGACCATTAAGGACATAAAAAATATAGCCAAATCCGTCTAAGGTTAACTTTCCATGAGGGAGTTGAAAACTTAGCTTCTTTATTATTTCCAAATTTATTAACGGACAATTCTATAAAGGTGTGTTATAAATCATGTCAGTTCCGAAGTAAATTATTACAGTGTAGAATAAATTCTATCATCTTAGATATTTGATGATTGTGTCGTAGGATTAACCATACGTCGATTCAACAGCCTGATATACGTCACAGGACATTCAACAGTACGATGTCTTTCAACTTGTCAATAAACTTCTCGAGAAAACGCAGCATGAATTTCGGCTCAATCGTAGTATTGATTAGTATACGTCATATGAATAATTTTTGTTACCATCCACACTCCACAAATAATTTTGTAAACAGTAAGCAATACGTACTGAGCGGCAAATATTGTGTACACAATTCTGCTTCTGTACATGTTTGATTTATTGTTCAGTTTTTCTCACCAACAAAACACTAGAACATTGTCATTGCACTACAAACCAGTTGTCGACACTACATATACACTTATTTAATGTGTTACGCAACTAATTATTAATGAACTTATTCCTTTTTCGGTGCCGAGCGTCTGATCCCATGACATCGGATAATTGTTTTGTTTTTGTTTGCATGAATTATTCAGAAATAATCATGCGTTTAACAGACAATAAGTGCTTAACGTTAAACGAATAGAGAATAATGGATAAAAGGTGCAGAATAAAGGGCAAAATAGAATAGGGAAAATGGACCCAAAAAAAATCGGAATAGAGAAAAGTAGGATATTAAAGTATAAAGAATAGAGATAAATGAGCACAAAATGTAAAGGATAGAGACACATTGGCTAAAAAAAGAATAAACAGAAATGAAGGAACCCATCCACATGAAATTGATACAAGGCAAAAAAAATCATGAACATAAAATTGGTAAAAAAAATCATTTTATGACAAAAATTCCAATACACAGTCAACCGATAGTTTCAGCCATGTTTACTTATTTGTAGAGAATATATTAACGATCATTTTCTTTCTATCCGTTACAGTTTTAAAGATAATAGCGAAACTCATAAAAATATTTATAAAAAAAATGTCATTCAAGGTCGGCAAACTTTTATGAGAATCAGGAGTGCTTCACATTTTGTTTTGCCAAATTGGTCAGAAAGAAGATATTGATTTTCTCCATTTAAGACGGTGTTTTAAGATTATATACAATACTTCCATTTAACAGGTTTTGTTCTTTTCTTTTTTAGCAATGGCATCCGAATTGATTGGAAGCAGGATCATATGACACTTTTTTTTATTAAATACACATTCAAAGGATATATGTGGCCAATTATACTCCTATAGTTTCAGAGGAGAAGTTTTGTTTTGTAAAAGATGACGGACGATGATGACAGAGGTCTTGTAATGAGAATAGCTAAAAAAAAGTCCGCATTTACCAACACTTATTTTTGTATCATGTGACGATAATGAGTAAACACATGATTGATGACATTCATCAACACTAATGTTCATGTCTATTTATCAATAGCAAACACGATGATTTCCTCCTTTTCTGACAAAATAATCGGATACACATAATTAAAATTGAATGCGGAAATATTAAAATCTAAATTTCAAAAATAAAAATTGCACTAAGAAATACTATATTCCTATTTAAAAAAAACGATGAGTTTTGGGTCGTGTGCATAAATAAAATACTTCTTCTCTGAATAATAAAAACATAATACGTTCATGTACCATATACCATATTCACATTACCCCCAAACTAACTCAAAAACTATTAAACTTGTATGTGGTATGATCTGTGTTTGTGATTGAATTTCACTTTCCTGCTAAACGCTCAAATAATTGAAAAAAGACGACATGATGTAATATTTTTATATGCAAAATCTCTACACGCACTTGACAATACCAACAGCCAAGAAACAATGACTTAATTGTTATTTATCATCTCAAAGTCACCTTGAGACGGTCAATATGGAGCAAACAATCACACCAAAATATAAATTCAAGACCAGAACTGGTTAGAGTGGGATATTTTGCTAGATGTCGATACTAATCTGTTATTAAGAAACACAGCAGCAGGGCAGAAACAACAAATTACATATACATGTTAACAGATTCTTTCTTATGTTTATATTAAACTCACATAATTATACAAAATAAAATCAATCTTTACATGGACGTCGCTGAAAATATTAGCACTCTTTTTTTTAAACAACATAACTTGTTTTGTTTTGCATTTGCAGATAAAACAGAAGCGTTTAACAAAGATATGATCAGAAATAAAACGTTTCACGGAATGAATGCGATTTTAAGAGTTTTAAGAGATGTTTTAACCAAAGAGTAACGGTACCAATTGTACAGCTCCAGATGCGCATTTCAACAATAGATATCTCTTCAGTTATGTTCTATGCCAACTATTTAAAGTGTCGTTTTAGGATAAACATATTATCTTTATAATTTTTGTTAGATTGCTGCTGTTTAATTTCTGGTGAATCACTTAAATATTCTGTCCATTGTCTAGTACCATGTTGAGTTAATCGTTTTGTTTCCTAAACGTTTGTGTTTAATAGTTTAAAATGCTATTCAATTTCAAATAAACATACCTCAACTAAGCAGATGTTTCACAATAAAATGAATTCCTGTATCCACTTTAAGCAATATCAAAGTATTTTGCTGAAGTTGGGTCAATGGGATGATTAATTCTAAAGTGTAAAATGGTGTTCCCATCGTTTACACAATAATATAGCCATTTTATATTAATTATTTGTGTTATATTAAGTTTTTACTATTTACAATCCAGTGCCGACAGTTGTCAACACTACATTTACACTTATTAAATGTGTTACGCTACTAATTATAAATGAACTCATTCCTTTTTCGGTGTTAATCGTCTGGTCCCATGGCATCGGATATTTTTTTTTTTATTTTGCATGAATGTTTCATAGATAATCATGCGTTTAACAGACAATAAGTGTTTCACGTTAAACTATTAATAAGTTTTTACTATAAAGATATAGGGGGTGGGGGTTATCTAATAGAGAATAATGGATCAAAAGTGCAGAATAAAGGGTAAAAAAAAGAGAATAGAGAAAAATGAACCCAAAAAAAAAGGCTGAATAGAGAAAATGGGATATCAAACCATCAAGAATAGAGATTAATGAGCACAAAATGTAAAGGATAGAGACAAATTGGCTAAAAAATAAAGTAAACAGAAATGAACGACCCCATCCACACCCTCTACTCTTTCTAGCTTATTGATGTTTCGGTGGGTGATGCTTCGTTCGTAAAAAAAAAAAATGTGTTTTTCTTTTACAAGAAGTTAAACCTGGTACTTTGCATTAAATTGATATACAAGGCAACCAAAAAATTCATGAACATAAAATTGGTAAAAAAAAAGTCCTTTTATGACAAAAATTCTAATACACAGTCAACCGATAATTTCATCCATGTTTACTCATTTGTAGAGATTATAATGCCGATCATTTTCCTTCTATCCGTTACAGTTTTGAAGATAATAGCGAAACTCATAAAAATATATTAAAAAAAAAATGTCATTTAAGGGCGGCAACTTTTATGAGGATCAGGAGTGTTCGACATTTTGTTTTGCCAAAGTGGACAGTAAGAAGATATTGACATTCTATTTTTTTTTTTACTTCTGACAGATTTTCTCCATTTAAGACGGTTTTTAAGATAATTTACAATACTTTAATTTTAAAGCTTATGTTCTTTTCTTTTTTTTAGCAATGGCATCCGAATTGATTGGAAGCAGGATCATAGGACACTTTTTTGTAAAATACACATCCAAAGGATATATGTGGCCAATTATAGCCCTATAGTTTCAGAGGAGAAGGTTTTTGTAAAAGTTGACGGACGACGATGACAGAGGTCTTGTAATGAGAATAGCTAAAAAAAAAACGTCCGCATTTACCAACACTTATTTTTGTATCATGTGACGATAATGAGTAAACACATGATTGATGACATTTATCAACACTAATGTTCATGTCTAATTATCAATAGCAAACACGATGATTTCCTCCTTTTCTGGCAAAATAATCGGATACACATAATTAAAATTGAATGCGGAAATATTAAAATCTAAATTTCAAAAAAATAAAATGTGCACTAGGAAATACTATATTCCTATTTAAACAAACGATGAGTTTTAGGGTCGTGTGCATAAATAAAATAATTCTTCTCTGAATAATAAAAACACATTGTACACTTAAAATACGTTCATGTACCATATATCATATTCACATTACCCCCAAATGAACTATTAGACTATTAAACTTGTATACATGTGGTATGTGGTTGAATTTCAATTTCCTGCTAAAAAACACTCAAATAATTGAAAAAAGACGACATAATGTAATATTTTTATATGCAAAAATTCTACACTCACTTGACAATACCAACAGTCAAGAAACAATGACTAAATTGTTATTTATCATCTCAAAGTCATATTGAGACGGACAACATGAAGCAAACATTCACACCCAAATGTTGATTCAAGACCAGAACTGGTTAGAGTGGGAAATTTTGCTAGATGTCGATACCAATCTGTTATTAAGAAACACAGCAGCAGGGCAGAAGCAACAATTTACATATACATGTTAACAGATTCTTTCATGTTTATATTGAACTCACATGATTATATAAAATAAAAGCAATCTTTACATGGACTTCGCTGAAAATATTAGCACTCTCTTTTTTCAAACATAACTTTTTTTGTTTTTCATTTGCAGATAAAACGGAAGCGTTTAACTATATGAAATAACTTTATTAGAAAAAAATAAAACCCTGACGGGTTAAAATGCAAACATTATATACAAATGAAACATACAATACATGTAAAAAGTGTTAAACACGTCAAGTTAGTATTAATAATATATATATATATAAGTATATTTAACAAAGATATGAAGTAAAACGTTTCACGGAATGAATGCGATTTTAAAGAGTTTGTGGTTATAAGTTAATAAATGCTATTCAATTTCAAACTTACATAACTCAACTAAGCAGATGTTTCACAATAAAATGAATTCCTGTATCCAATTTATACAATATCAATGTATTTTGCGGAAGTTGAGTCAAAGGGATGATTAATTTTAAAGCGTAAAAGGATGTTCCCATCGTTTACACATTAATATAGCGATTTTATATTAATTACTTTTGTTGTATTTTTGAAGTTTTTACCATCCTATCATCACGGTTTCCCCTCGAACTAGCGTTGTGTGGTGGCCTAAGTTCTAGTAGAGAATTTTATAGAACTGAGAGCAGAATAAAAAAGGAATAAACCAATGTTCCTTTTTCCCCCTGAAAATCACGAGAAATACAATTTTGAAATAATTGTATTCTATTTAGCGTGTATTTCTGGAAATTAAATTGTATATTGATGTAGTTTGTTACATTTTAAAATAAATTTATTTTGAGCCATGTACTTCGCTGTGCGTTCAATAAAATTTGTCTATTTACAATAATGCATAGAATAAATTTATTCTATACATCCACACAACTTCCTGACCATCCAGAGTTATAGAATAAATTTATTCTATACATACACAAAACTCTCTGGGCAAACAGAGTTAAAAAATAAATTTATTCTATACATCCACAGAACTTTCTAACCATACAGAGTTATAAAATAAATGTATTCTTTACATACAGAGACTTTTCTGGGCAGACAGAGTTATAAAATAAATTTATTCTATACATACAGATAACTTTCTGACTATCCAGAGTTATAAAATAAATTTATTCTATACATACAGGGAACTTTCTGATCATACAGAGTTATAAAATAAATTTATTCTATACATACAGAGAACTTTCTGATCATACAGAGTTATAGAATAAATTTATTCTATACATACAGAGAACTTTCAGTCCATCCAGAGTTATAAAATAAATTTATTCTTTACATACAGAGAATTTTCTGGGCAAACAGAGTTATAAAATAAATTTATTCTATACATACAGAGAACTTTCTGACTATCCAGAGTTATAAAATAAATGTATTCTATACATCCACAGAACTTCTTTTACAGAGTTATAAAATAAATTTATTCTATACATACAGAAAACTTTCTGACTATCCAGAGTTATAAAATAAATTTATTCTATACATACATAGAACTTTCTGACTATCCAGAGTTATAAAATAAATGTATTCTATACATGCAGAGAACTTTCTGACTATCCAGAGTTATAAAATAAATTTATTCTATATATACAGCGAACTTTCTGACTATCCAGAGTTATATAAAAAAATTTATTCCATACATGCAGAGAACTTTCTGATCATACAGAGTTATAAAATAAATTTTATCTGAAATACTTTGACTTGCAGAGAACTTTCTGGGCATACATTGTTATAAAATAGATTTTACTTACTGAGAACTTTCTGTACATACAGAGTTATGATAAATTTATTTTGAAAGTATATCAAACTGTTTGTTAAGGATTATCCAAAGAATATATGTATTCTGCACTCAAATTGCTTTCTGGTCATAATAACGTATAAAATAAATTTGTTTTGAAAGATATACTACTCTGAATGTAAAGAATGAGGCATAGAATAAATGTTTTCCCAACCCATAGTGCTGTCTGATCTCAATTGTTCATAAAATATAATTCAAGTTCATCAATTTCGCTGTCTGTTTAGAAGACGTCATAGACTAAGTTTATATTCAAATCTTTACTAATACACAATGAAATAAGGAAAAGTCCAGAAAGATCCGAAATTACAAATGTTGACCTCAATGGTATGTACTATTCACTGAGGTTTCTTCTTTCAGGATTTTTCTCTGTAGTCTTTTTATAACTTTAGTTCAAACTCTTTTTTGTCATGTTCATACCACTAAAAAAAACACAAAAAGTAAATCTTAAGTGAAAACAATGGACGAAATATTCCTATTTCGTTTAGCAAAATTGTCTGACTGACAACATAAAATAAGAAAATTGATTTATCTATACTTCTGAGCAAAAATTAAAAAAAATAAAACAAACACAATCTAGATGCCTTTTTTTGGCTACCATGTTTTATCATCTGATAAAGTTTGACTGTGTCATTCCATTCTTTAACTTTGATAAGCATCCTCAATCAGCTTCAAATTTATTTGGCATCGAAATTTCCTGAAGATATTCTGAAATCGTTTTCGTATGTCAAAACACAGTTTTTCGGCGTTCATTGATTATATAGTTCATTCAAAAATCAATGTGTAAAATTTAACTGGATTTTGTATAAAACGATAATACGTTCTGGTTTTCCGCTATTACATACATTTTAGCAAAATATGTCGGTATTCATTCATGATGGTACAAATATATACTCCATTAACTTGTGATACAAATCGTCCTTCCCCTTACACATTACTGCTTTCTTGGTCGTCAGGATCTATGAAAAAAAATATTTGAACATGAATTGAACCACAATTAAAGTTCTGTCTTCACAGTACATGCCACGTCCAATGTTTGGTTATTCATTTTCTAACAGATATTCTATAGGTTTTTGGAGTATATGCTCTGAAAAATGCAGCAACGTGTACTTGGGCGTTTTAGTTAAAAAAAAATATCAATCTACTTAGTATATCAGATCTTGAAAACAGCATACATTAATAATAACAGGTTTTAGTCTTAGATGCATGATTTTTTTATTAGTTGTTATTGACTTTGACCTAGCTGTCAGTAACTGTGAGTATTCTCAGATCTGTACTTTGTGTCTTTTTGTTAAAAGTTGAAGATGCATGAAATCCCTGCCACGTCCGGTCTATGTTTTTGTTAATTGTTTTTGTGCTTTGTATCAATCTAATGAGTTATAAAGTCCCTTTTACCTGATTTTTATAGTTTATTCTTATGTTGTACTGTTACACCACTGTTCCATGTCATGGGGAGAGATTAGTACCAGCAAACATGTTTACCCCGCCACATTCAACATGTGGCTGTCCCATGCTAGGAGCCAGTACTTCAGTGGTTGTCGTATGTTGCTGTACATCATAGGTGTTGTTCGTTTATTGTTTTGTTATAAATTTAATAGTTAGTTAGTTTTCTTGTTTGAATGTTAACATTTGTCATTTCTAGGCCTTTTATAGCTTACTATGCGGTATGGGTTTTGCTTATTGTTGAAGGCCGTACATTGACCTATAGTTGTTAGATTTTTCATTTGGTCTCTGGTGGAGAACTGTCTCATTGGCAATCATACCACATCTTCTTATTTCCATATTCATAACGAGTGCGAATTGGATATTATATCGAACGATATCCATTTCTTACGAGTTGTTAAACTTATTTCTCTCATGGTAGACATTCTCTTTGTTTTAAATATAAATTCAGCTACTCGTTTCCCTAGTCTACTGCACATACCAACATGGCGCTGTGGCACAGGAGACAAAAAAGGTCATTACCAAATTTAAGCAGATTCTAGATTTTTTTCTTACGATTTGAGACCCAAATAGAAACTGGACCCCTGTTGTGTTCACCTATCGCTACACTAACAACAGGTACGGCCTAAGTCCCGCGGTCAGCTTTCGGTCTACGTGATTTAATAATTTAGACGAGACTAGTGCATCATGTGATGTGCTTATTATGTATTATACTGAGAAGAACTCAAACGAGAAACTAGCACATTCCTATCCCTACTGAGTTCTCAAGGAAATAAAAGATACCGGCTCAGTTTGTCAAGAATATGATAACACGCTCATGGGGCTGCCACCATCGGTTTTCAATATTTGAAGCAAATTTTATCATACTATGACTGTGGTTAATTGTGGATCTTTTAAATCCAATAGTATTTTGTTTCCCCTTTATATATAAATGAAATTGAATATTCAAAAGATTTTTAAAATAATATCGGTAAATATTTGATAGATCAACATATAAAAATTAAATATTGTATTTCTCTTTTTAACGCTCAGAATTTTCAGTCAGATAAGTTTTGATTGTTTTTTACCTTTATTTTTTTGATGGGTTGAACACAACTGCACATTTTTACAATTTTATTTTGGTTAGAACGCATAGCAAACTTTTCCAGATATATTTTTTTTTTGTGTTCACGTCATCAGAAAATACAAATGAACCTGAAAAATATTATGGCCAACTAACCAAATAAATTTTAAACATTTCTACATCTTCGATTTAAGTTGAAATGATAGGACTTTTTTTTTGAGTGGGAACTCACTTTTGTCTTCTATCTGTACATCTTCCTGAACTACAATATAATGTCATATTTTGAATCATGTGCATAGACCTGTGCATAAGTCTAGGAGTACGTCCATTTTTGAACACAATCATCCGTATCATGTCTTAAAATGTACATAAAATTAGTACCACCTAAAGATATGAATAGCTTACCGTACTGAGTTAATTAACAGACACTTATTTATTTTGCGGCATCGCAGTATTAACATTTGAGGTCAAGTTGTCAAAAGTTCCTGTCAATATAATTTGTCAATTTCGTAGCGAATCGTTTAATTTGTAAGACTCGTCCAATTAATGCCAAGGTAACAATGGCTCCAACGCGGACCTTGTTTAACCCAAATAATGCCAATGTTAAATATAAGGTAAAAGTCCGAGTAAGCCTTTTCCCTCCATGTTATTCTACAGCGAAAAGCTTTCACATATTATAAATTATAATTTTAATTAAAGCCGAAAATAATACAGATATACAGCTTTCATACAGATAATACCATCATGGACATACTGTATCTATAAGTGAAACAATTGGTCAAAAAAGAAACGTAAAATATTTATGAAATTATTGTAACTCTCATGTCCCGATATATTTTCAAAACATTTCTGAAACAGCCGATACCATGAAAATTCTTCAACAGCACAACAAAACTCACATATGGCATAAGTAATTCTATAGACAAGAATTTTTTTATAAGCATTTAAAACTCGCCAATGAGTTCTTATTTATAGATATAAGAAGATGTGGTATGAGTGCCAATGAGACAACTCTCCATCCAAGTCAAAATTTATAAAAGTAAACCATTATAGGTCACAGTACGGTCTTCAACACGGAGCCTTGGCTCACACCGAAC